ACACGATAATTGGTATCATAGTGAATATGATCATCGGTCGTGCATAACTAATCCCAAATAACGGCGCGTGCAGATACAAACTTAAATAACTTCTCAAATATTGAATTGATTTCACCAAAATAAAAAATATAAGATCAAAAATTAAATTATCTATCGAATGCATAAACTTAACGCTCACTAAAACATCTATTACATGTCCTGAGTGCACTTTTTATGTCCTGAGTGCAGTCAGGAGGTCCTGAGCGGCTTTTAGACGTACCGTTTCATAAAGTCTGGGTAGCAGCTGCAAGCTCTTGAATACCGAATGAGTTTGGAAATGTATATCCCATATGCAGGTGAAGTTTGTATATTCCTACTTAGGTGGGGGGGATTTATAATTTCAAAATTATAATCGTCTCGCTTGTCATAGATTCTGGTACTGGGATGACCGCTTATGTCAAATTCGAGGTATAAGTCTAAAAATGATGCGGAGGAAGCCATGTCTGTTGTTTCTTTAATTTCTAGTTCTGGAGGATATATTAATGGAACCCAATCAGAAAAGCTTGGATTGTTAATGGAAAGAACATCATCAATATAATTATCTGAATGTGAAATTAAATGATCTGGCTTCTTTGATCTTCTTGTTCTTGACAAGTATCTGAAGGAACTCCAACTCATATGAAAATAAGAAGAGGTCAGAAAGGAGTGGCGCACAGTTCTTTTCCATAGGAATGCCGACAAATTGTTGAAAAGTTTACCTCCATATTCAACAAATATGTTGTCAATAAGAAACTCCAGCATACTGATCATTTGTTCCTCTGTGTATCATGTTTTACCTTTTTGTAAGACTGTATTTTACATACTATAAACATAAAAACCAATGGGACAATTTTCAAATCAAGATCATTAGACAAGCTTAATCCAGATAAAAAAGAAGATACAGCATACGTTAAAAGCAATGACGACCTCTGTAAGACAGACATGCTAAAATAATTGTTCAAAAAAGCAAACGTAGTTGACCTTTTACTTATCATAAGTAAACTGGCGAGGATAAGAGAGATTTAGGATATATGACCACGAACAGATGATCATGTGCATCTTATACTGATTCTGATGACCTATTATAGGAACTGAGTGCATTATGTAGACCTGAGGATAGATCTTAAATTAAACCTTGATCAGATTGTCATGAAGTAATGTGATCTAACTCTGACTGACATGAACCACTTGATTATGACTGTAGACAAAATATAGATGACATATTACCCATTAGTACTTGTAAAAGAAGGGCGAAAGATACCAATGATTTTTTTATTGAAATGAAATAAACACTTCATAAATGTTGTGCACGTCAACTGGTTTCTGGCGATTAATTAACATAATAACTGTTATACATTCTAATTGATAAAATTATCAGGCAATTTCCTTTTACGAAGATAGATATCGAAACACCATATGATATTGGTCGAATAGAAGCTATGTATATAAAGGAGCTAACGTATTACCTTTTGTAGGAAACATTCCTGGCGTACATTAGATGAACTCCAGACGATACGTTGTTAATAACAAATGATATATTGATAGGCTCAATAGTTTGCACCAAAGAGGAAACAAAATATCGGTATCAATGGACTAAAGTACTCAGGTATCAATTATAAACTGATGACATGAAGCCGGTACAGTGGGAAGATTCATATTCTAAAAAAACTGTAATACTATATTAGAGACAATTGCATTCGGAACTAGAACAACAAGTGCTATAATATTTAAAGGTGTTCTTAATACGGTTCATTACACAAACTACCAGTAAACGAAACAACAAATAAGGTTGTTAGTGGACGTCTTGTGAAGATTTTTTTCAGAATTTATACTACCCCGGTATCATTAGCAATAATGGTAGATGTTATCTTTTATATGGTCTGTACCAGAACACAGTTCATCCAATTGCAAGATGATAGGCCAATCATAGATTAACTATCAGTTTACCGGGTGGTAGAAAACTTTGATCGAATCGCTAGAATAGAAATCAGAAAACAAGGTAAAAACTCATCAAAGATGCCAAGCCTATAATACAGTTCTATGTTTGTGGACTATGTGCGAGATATCGAAAGGCTGTAACCTAGGTGTCACATGTAACGTTTAGCAGACTCACTGTTTGTTGCATTCTACAGAGTAGTTTCTCCCTCATAGATTTTGATTTACATGTGGCTTAAAATAAAGTTAAAACGGCGGATATATGTAGCTTATATTCTGTAAAACCAATATTTACATCTTATGTGGAAAGATGCATTGAACATTAAAACGCATGTTAAAGAACATTTGATCGGACCAACCACATTTTGACAGATACCTTCTAATTGGAAAAAGTAAAATAACAAAAATACCGAACTCCAAAGAAAATTCATAATGGAAAGTCCCTTATCCATTGGCAAAAACAAAAGCTCAAACACATCAAACATAATGGAAAACAACTGTCAGATTCCTGACTTTTCTTATGTAGACAATAGGGGATTGAACCTGGTTTTATAGCTAGCTAAAACTCACACTTGTTTGACAGTCGCAAAGAATTCCATTATATTGACAACAATGTGTGAGCAAAGCAAACAGACATAATAGGTAAAAATGTCAAAAATTGGGATACAGAAGACAACATTGTAATATAATCCTTATCACCATAAAAACAAACAAAACCAAAAAGACATATAGACACTTTATAGACAAAGCAAATAAGCAAACATGAAAGACAAGAATACAAAAAATGGCCATAGCATAATAGCACAATGGCGGGATGTGTCAAAACCGAGTCACACCAAAAGTATATTATCAGATATGGACTAAACAGTTAAAGTTAAAATATACAAACCCAATAAAAAAACACATTATAACACGTAATTAAAGTAATTAACAACGTCAGAACCAAGAATCTATACTTCAAGACAATCATATATAATTTGTGAATTTGATACGGAATATTTATCGACTAGGTCTTGGTATCTTCCGATGAACTTTTTAGGAAAAAGGACGAGACGAGACGTTCTTTGACATAACCCTGGTTCATTAACTTTCTGCTCAGACACTGGTGACGTTTTATAAAGTCTGGGTAGCAGCTGCAAGCTCTTGAATACCGAATGAGTTGGGAAATTTATACATCCCATGTACTTGAATATGCTGAATCTCACCGTGTATTTAGATTTTGGATATTGGACCATAATAGGTAAAAGTCAAATTTCAAATTTTTCATTTTTTTTTTACCAAATTCATTAATTCTGTCTCAGAAACCTATGATGTGTCAAATATTTTAAAACAAAGATAAATTTTGCACAATTTTTGAAAAAGTGTCAATTTAAAAATTACTAATAGGGTAAAGACAATGGTGGTATTACTCCTATAACCAAGTTTCTGTCATAATCATAACATCTGGCCCTCTATCATCCGTTATGAGGTTTTGAACTTAGTATTGTGTACGGAGGTTTTCTTAGTGACTGAGAGTAAATATTTAGGATCCTTAGTGGTACATATGATTTATTTCTGTTTTTCTGAAATTTGGTCGCCTTGGAGTTGATGTGTGTCTTGGTTTTACATTTCCTCGTTGAGACGTTGTACTGATGTCAAGTTTGCCTTCTAGTAATGAACTAGAATTAACTGATGTGATAAGATGGAATAGCTATAGAATCATAGTATATTAAGGAATTGTAGTTCTGGTTGTCACAAATGATACAATCCCATCATTTTACCGATATGTTTTTCAGAATCATCTACAAGAAAGCTATAAATGAGAAAAAGAAAAAAAATAATTTCGTGCGTCCAAAGAGCCTTTTCTGAATTTACATTCATCGGCGGGACACTTTTAATCTTACATATTTGAAAGCCAAGGATGTAGAAGTCCAAAACACATAATGAGCTATATGACCAAAAAATACCTTAAAGGACCTAAAAAATAGCCAAATTCGTCTAAGGTCAACTTTGCCTGAGTGGTTTAAAACCTTCGTTTCTTAATAATTTCTTACGATTTATCCGATCGACTGAGGCAACCGTTGAACGGAGAACATACGAAAAGTTTGTCATAAATCATTTCAGTACCAACAAATTTTTAATCAGGACTATTATTCAATTCAACATTTTCGTCATCATGAATTTATTTTAAACAATAATTGAAAAATGATTAATATTATTTATTTTTTTTAAGTTTCGACGCTATCTTATATCAAACATTTTCCGTCTTTCCCAATATGGTACGTATAGATATCGGTTTCAGTTCTTTTAAATTACAATATACGTATACATGAACTGACGTTTGACAACGAAATAATCACCATATTCAAACTACCAGGGACACCATCAAATGTAAACTTAAAATATTTTTTTTTGCACCTTCAGAAAGAAGAATTATACAAAAATAATATGGGACATGGCGAAATAATGTCACTGCAATAATGAATTTTATAGGAATTTTTTACTGCCACTCGTCATCATTGAATTTGGTTAAGTTATGTAGGAAAAACGTATCTTTTCATGGGAACTTTTCAAATCATTAGGGACACCACTTTAAAATAACATAAAATATTTTTTTTTACATCAAAATAAAGATAAATCTAATAACTTTTTCACCTGCCATGGCAATTGTTTATGATTGTACAAATAAAATGTTGACAAATCATTTTAAAGCAACTGTCATGTTTTTTCCATATACAACAATGTTAAATTTTATCAGTCAAAAAGTGCTCCCTTGTTGGTCACTGATAACGTTACCCCCGCTGAGCTGTCCCTGATTGTTGTGTATGTGTCTTGATGGATATATATGTCTCTGAGTTTACAGAATGGAGCGGAATAATGAACCAAAAAAATATAAAAGATAGAGAATAATGGGCAAAAACTTATAAGAATAGACTATGGCCAAAAAAGTTAAAGAATAAAATGTCAGAAATATAAAAATATTTGTTCATACATATGTGTGCTCTGTTTCAAATCCTAACTCATTGGTATACAGGATAAATCTTGTAGTAATCATGTGATAACATCGTTTGTGAAAGGCACGTGATGAACATAACTCACTAAACATCTAAACAAAACAGTTGAAAACAGAAAGGAAAATGTTTTCAGTCTTCTTCTTATTCTTTTTCGTTTATTTTATAGATGGATTGAACATAGAGTACAATAAAAAATCATACTGTTTTGACCCGAAGTTTGGGAAGGGAATAGAATTTGTAAAGTAAGTTAATTAATTTATTTAAAATTATGCACCTGCAAAAAACAAAGGTAAAAGACCCTACTACTTCTACTACAACAAAAAATGTATTGCAGGTAATAAATAGGGTGTTCGACCAGTTGTTGTATCTTATTTACATCAAGATATTATTGTTAATGCAACATGATAGATTTCAATAATTTAGGATAGGACATCAATAACTTTAATAAGTGAAACCTTCATGGAATCACACAGTTTATGAAACTTTTGACGAGCTTAATTTTTCTTATGACCAAAAATAAGATTTTTCTTTCATTTTTCATATTTAACTGATAAACTGAATCATTTATTTTTTTCTCAGTGTTACCTTAAGAAACAGTATGGTCAAAGATTTTCAGACATCAATTAGTTTTCAGTCACTTAAAAATAAAAGACAAGAATTACAAGAAATCTTGATATCAACTAAACCTGACATCATCATAGGAACTGAAACCTGGCTCAACAAAGACATATTATCATCTGAATTTTTCCCAATGATAGAATATACTGTATATAGGAAAGACCGACCTCTAAGCGATAACAATCTTAGCCATGGGGGTGTACTTATTGCAGTAACAACAAACTTACTATCTGAAGAAATTAGAGATCTACAAACAGACTCAGAGTCTATTTGGGTACAAATAAATATGACAAATGCCAGAAAGTTAATTGTTGGAAGTTATTATCGACCTCCATCTGATAATGGCACATCAATTGAACAGCTTAAAATTTCACTAGATCGCATAAACCAAAATACAAAATCTACAATCATTCTTGGTGGCGACTTTAATCTTGGGCACATAAACTGGGATATTCCATGCACCATCCCGAGCAAACCAGACATCAAGCTACATGAACAACTTCTTAACCTTATGAATGAACATAATCACTTGAGCAGATTGTAACAAAGCCCACAAGGGGAGACAGAACACTTGATCTCATTTTCACCAACATACCAAGCATAGTCAACAAATTGGAGACTATGCCTCCTATCGAAAATGCAGACCATGATATCGTCTATGCAGAATGTGCACTATCTTTAAAACGCAACAAGAAAATGACAAGAAAAACTTACCAGTATAGAAAAGCTAACTGGGAAAACATCAAACAAGATGTGAACAAACTCACACAAGAAATCAAAGGTCATTATCATAGTTCATCTACCGATGATCTATGGAATACATTCACAGAAAGGCTACTTCAATCAGTCAAGAAAAACATCCCCCAGAAGACAATCACAAACAAGAAAAAACTACCCTGGGTTGATAACACCTTAAAAATCATGATAAACAAAGTTAAAAGACTACATAAAAAGAGCAAAAACAGTCCAGATCAAATGAAAAAATACAAAAACTTAAAAAGAACATTACAAAAAGAAATGCGTAATGCCTACTGGAAATACATCGAAAAAATGATATTTGACCTACCAGTAGAAGAACCAGACGACAACATCAGAAAAAAACAACCTAAGAACTTGTTTACATACATCAAAAGTATGAAAAATGACAATACAGGCATTGCTGCACTTAGAAAAGATGGTAAACTAACTGATAACACATCTGACAAAACTAACATCCTAAATAGTCAATTTCAAAAAGCATTTTCCGAAGAAACAACAAGTGAACCTATTCCGGATAAAGGGAAATCAAACTATCCAAAAATGAACATCACCATTTCCAAGAAGGGTGTAATAAAATTACTGGATAAGATCAATCCTAATAAAGCAACTGGTCCAGATCAAATTTGCGGAACAGTACTTAAAGAACTTAGTAGTGACATTTCAACTGCAATCACCTACATCTTTCAAATATCACTTGACACAGGAAAAATCCCAAAAGATTGGAAACATGCAAATGTCTGTCCTGTTTTTAAAAAAGGTGATAAACACAACACAATAAACTATAGACCCATATCACTCACATGTATACTATGTAAGATCATGGAACACATTATAGCCAGTAGTATGATGCACCACCTAGAAAATAACAAAATCTTGTACGACCTTCAACATTGATTCCGAGCATCTAGATCATGAGAAAATCAACTAGTATCATTCATCCAAGAACTAGCAAAAAATAACAACAATAACATTCAAACTGACCTAATTGTGATGGACTTTGCCAAAGAATTTGACAAATTTCCTCACAAAAGACTTCTATACAAACTGAAATATTATGGCATTGAACACAACACCTTAAAATGGATAGAAGATTTCCTCACATCTCACACACAAACAGTCATTATTGATGGTGTTCAGTCAGACAAATTTAACGTAACATCTGGTGTTCCCCAAGGAACAGTTTTGGGCCCTATCCTGTTCCTTGTGTATATAAACGACTTTAATGAATACATCAAACACAGCACCCTAAGATTATTTGCAGATGACAGTATAATTTATAAAACAATACGAAACAAAGAAGACACACAAAAACTGCAAGAAGACCTTACATCAGCAGCAAAATGGGAGAAGGACTGGCTCATGTCATTCCATCCAGACAAGTGCTCAGTCCTCCAGATAACAACCAAGAAAAACCCATTAAAATTTGACTACACTCTCCACCAACATGTACTGCAAAAAGAAACATCCACAAAATATCTGGGCATTACTATACAAACTGACCTAAAATGGAACAAAATCACAAACACACCAACTTGAGATGGTCCAGCGCAGAGCAGCGAGGTACACATGCAACAGATACCATAACACCAGCTCAGTCACTGAAATGCTGCAAACACTAAATTGGGCAAAATCAGTGCCCAGCACGTTATCATCAGTATGTTGATGGAGTGCTGAATTATAAAGAAGAAGAAAGAAGAAGTTATTACTGTGCAATATAGCTTTGTCAACATCAGGTCAAACCTTTTTGAATTTTATTAAACTTGACAGAATCTTTATTCTGATCAAGAGAGTATCCACAGCAACAATTTGAACATTTTTCAGTATTTTACAGAATTTTTTTCTGCAGTTAAAAATATATAATTATATTTAAGATACAATTTGGGGTTATAGCAACAGCCTTTTTTAATGATAAAAAATGTCTGAATCCAAATTTTTTAAAGATGTTTTTCATGTTTTAAATTTTTATTGATAAATGGACTTTTACATAAGTCTTGGATAATATTTTTAGACATCAATAAAATTGTTAAACCTTCATGAAATCTTTTTGCAACTTGAAAATAAGATTCTCCAAGATCAAGAAATAGCATCTGAAAAAAATGGTTTGGTTTTAAAAAAAATGTTTCCAGTATTTTACTAACAGACTTAGTTTTTGGGATCAACATAATACTTTTACACTGACAGCAGCAGGGAAGACACAGGGTCCCAGGACCCTTAAATTTACATTTTTTTTTCTTTCCTATGATTTTAAAAATGTTAATACATTTTGTAGCTGAATGCATGCATGTGTTTCTTTAAAAAATGTAATCCATTAAAATAATGATGCCTTTTAAAATTGCTACAATGCATTATTGTATATTGCTAGTAATCAGTTTTATTATAAGAAAAGATGTATATATTAATAGCCCTGCATTCAGCTGATTATTCTATTTTGTTATTGCACATGGTCATTTCGTGTGCTTATGCTGTTTTATGCTAAAATTGTTGCAGGTGCATTGATTTATATCTTAATCTGAGAAAAAGATGGTCTATTTCTAAGTTAAAATTGCGCTTTGAACCTTAAGCTTTTAGAAAATGCCAGTTTGCCAGTACTCCAGTATTAATACTTTTTGCTTTTTGCCATTTTGTTAGTTGTTATGGTAATTAGTGCAGCCTTTGCTGGTCTAATAAGTGAAGTTCTTTTCAATTGATTGTTACAATTTGTTCTAATGTTGGGCTGTTACATTGTTCAGATGCTACCAAATTATGGCAGGGTTGAGTGCTCACAAACATGCTAAACTTTGCAACATGCCTTTTTTTTACATGTATTTGTCTGTCTCATGCTAGTATTTGTAGGATCTTGTAGTCCAGTGGTTATTGTTGGTTGCTGTCTGCCATAAAAAAATGTCCATGAAATTTAAATCAGTTCTTCAGTTGTACCTTTTAGGTTCTTTAAGTTCTTCATTTTCACAAACTTTTTATAGCTTTTATAATACAGCATGGACTTTGCTCATCATTGAAGGGCCATTTGCGCTTTTTTACCTGTAATACGATAGGACATTTGTGCTTTAAATTTTGATACACCTGTATTAAATTGACCGGACATTTGCTTGCGTATAGTCGTCTACCTGTAATTTTAATGAGTTGTAATCAGTACGTAAATAAATTTAACTTATATTTGTGGTTAGTTAGTTCACATTGACACAGTATTAAACATAGAGTTTAAAGATATATAGACTAGTAAAGGGAAAAAAATGTATATGTCTCGATGGATTTTTATCATTGAACAACAGTCGGTTAACTACATTAAAATTTGTTATATTGATGAACAGGGACCTCAGTCAAGAATTGAGAAAGAGACACTAGAATATTTATAAATACCAGTCAGGACAGATTACAAGAGCTAAATTTGTTCATTCCCTGAGCTTCAGATATCAAGCAAAAACTGATCTGTGATGACTATATATACATGTCTTTATGTCTTAAGAATGCTTACTTTTAGCTATATATAACTATATTAATGTGCTATGAAATGACTTTTAAACACAAATGTGCTATGAAATGACTATTAAACTTTTAATCATAATGAAAATTATTACGTTAATTCTGCCTGGTCAAACCTACAGGACCTAAGCCCGGATATTAACATAGGAGGGAAGTCATAAGAAGCAAATATTGTAAAAGCTCAAATTCCCTACATAAAAAGCGCAATTGCCCTACATAAAAAGCGCTAATGCCTTACATAAAAAGAGGAAATGTCCTATAAATTGAAGCGCAAATGCCCATTAAGAAAAGCACAAATTAATGTCCTATGAAAAATTGCAAATTTCCCACACCGCGAAGGCCATACAGTGACTGTTACCTGTGATTGTTTATATCATCTTTCTCTGTTCTTTGGTGGGTGGAAAGTTATTATACATGTTCATGAATTCCAGTAGGAAATTAATGTAATGCAATATAAAAAATTGAAGCAATTCAAAAGAGACAACTAAAGGCCTGAATAAGTAAACAAATTTGGATGAAAAAAAACTATGGCAGATTTTTGATATTATGACAACCATATATAACATGCTTAGACTTTGCTTGGGACAGGTACATAAAGAATGTAACAGGTTAAACACTGACCCCTCCCCCTACATTAAATTGTATTGTGAAATCAGGATATATATATATATATATATAACATCACTGAAGAGACATTAATTTTGAAATCCGGATATGGTGTACTAATTTTTGCACCTTTTGTTTGCGGTATACCATCTTTTCCGCAAGTTTATTGTTTTATGTTTGGTATTAAATTAATAGTTAAGATCCATTTTGATACATCTGGTGATCCGTTTATTTGGCAATCGCCAATGGCAGTCAGCAGGGTTTAAGAACATCCGTTGTTCGACCTGCTAGTCAAATGTGTTTTGTTAAAATATACTTTTTCACTTTTTTGGTCTTTTGGAAAATGTTGTTTGTGCTGTATTTAGACCCCTCTACCAAGAAATTTGTTTTGCATGCACACGTATAAAAATTGCGGTTTTTATCCAACCCAATTATTGGTTTGAACATTGTTTTCAATTTAGACTTGTTTATATTTTTTCGTTTGGGCTTGTATTATATTTGCCTTCGGGTTGATATGATCTGTTCATCCAAAATTCAAGAGTCTATCCTAAATTGAGGTAAATTATATGGCCTTCCAAATACCGTTTCCATTCCTAACATCACTGAACAGACATTAATTGTCGAAATCGGGATATGGTGTACTAATTTTTGCACCTTTTGTTTGCGGTATACCATCTTTTCTGCAAGTTTATTGTTTTCTTTTTTGGTATTAAATTAATAGTTAAGATCCATTTTGTTACATCTGGTGATCCGTTTATTTGGCAATCGCCAATGGCAGTCAGCAGGGTTTAAGAACATCTGTTGTTCGACCTTCTAGTCAAATGCGTTTTGTTAAAATATACTTTTTCATTTTTTTGGTCTTTTGAAAAATGTTGTTTGTGCTGTATTTAGACCCCTCTACCAAGAAATTTGTTTTGCATGCACACGTATAAAAATTGCGGTTTTTATCCAACATCCGTTGTTCGACCTGCTAGTCAAATGCGTTTTGTTAAAATATGCTTTTTCACTTTTTTGGTCTTTTGGAAAATGTTGTTTGTGCTGTATTTAGACCCCTCTACCGAGAAATTTGTTTTGCATGTACACGTATAAAAACTGCGGTTTTTATCCAACGCAATCATAGGTTTGAACGTTGTTTTCAATTTAGACTTCTATATATATTTTCTTTAATTTTGATTATGTTGTAAATTTAGCTTTGTGTATAAATGATATATTTAACTGCAATGTAAATATCTCAAAATTATTTGAAAATGCTACAGCAAAACTAAAAAAAGGTATTTTTCTATTGCACATAAATATATGCTTTAATGGTTCACAGGTAATAAGCTTTGTCTTATGGTGGAAAAAAACACAATTAAATCACGAAATATTCTAGAAATCACTTTCATATATTATATATCTATTTCATGTTCAATTACAAAACAGAAGAAAAACACATTAGTTCTGGAATCATTGCCATGTATTTATAAAGATAAACATATTTTATTTTTCTAAATTAGGTCCCCAGAGGGACATATATACATGTAACAAATATAATCTTTTACAACATACAATATTTTTACATGACATTCATATAATAAACCTAAATATTTGTATATCTAGTTTATTTTTAATCTAAACTATAGTGATGTTAATATTTTCCAGAACATATAAGAGACCACATGAAAAACTAAATCTGAAGACGTTGCCACAGAATTGGGATTGGAGAAACGTTAATGGCACAAACTTTCTCAGTACAACCAGAAATCAACATATTCCTCAATGTAAGGTTATCAAGCTGTTTCCTGAAACTCATTTCCAGAATCATGAATCTTACAGTGTATCATTATATTTTTATTTGAATAAATTATTCTTTTGTTGGGTACATATAGAGGCACTGGCTCTCAGAGCAATGCAGAGTCAAAGGATAAGTAGTTCCTGTTGGTTTGCATGTAAAATTTCCTATATATTCTAAGGGAGTGTTTTTTTTTACTCCCAACATGTGAATCACTGTAAGTAAAACTCAATTAAAAAGCTGAAACTCAAACCACTATTCTTACTTATTCTCTCAAGTTTTAACTTTCTTGTCTCTGAAACACATAGTCATTATAGCAAACCCAAAATAGCTGCAGTGCAGCTGACCAAGAAACTATATACCATTTCTTATTTTCATGCAACCAATACATTGATACTATATGAATCTAATTTATTAAGTTTGTAATTATATAATAACATCTTAAACATTCCATGTTGTGTACTGTACAAAAAATGCCACACACACAAATGTTCAAACAATGATTCAAGGCATCTTTTTCTCTCTCTCTTCGAATCCAGGAGGTCGTGGGTTAGAACCCCAACCAGGATCAAAACAAAGACTGTAAAATTGGTATTTGCTGCTTCTCCACTAAGCACACTGCATTTAGGAGTAAGACATAAGACTGGTCGGCTCGGAGTCAGAATAATGTGTCCAGGTAAGGTAATATGTCTTCCTGCGGAATGTTACCTTGTGAACTAGCACGTTAAAAATCCGGCTCAGCCTGTCTGTCTAGTACAAAGCAGGGTTAATACTCATATTACATTAACATGTTCTTGTCCTGAATATGCATATTAATTTGCCGCTGGACGTTAAGCAGCCATCCGTCATCATCATTTCTCTCTCTTTTTCTGGGTTTCTCCTACTCTCTTTTTCCACAGAAATATATTAATATATTAGAATTATTACATCATTTCGTAAAAGATTTATTAAGTACAAAGAATTTTGTAGTGATCCATTTTGTTTCTTACAGAAAATAAAACTTTTTTTGCTGTTCTAAATAATGATAACCTTTTAATTGCAGACTGTGGATCATGCTGGGCCATGGGATCTACAAGTGCTCTTGCAGACAGGATCAATATTAAACGCAAAGGTGCCTGGCCATCTACATACCTCTCAGTACAAAATGTCATAGATTGTGGTGGTGCTGGCAGTTGTGAAGGGGGTGATGACACTGGTGTATGGCAGTATGCACATAAACATGGAATTCCTGATGAAACCTGCAACAATTACCAAGCTAAAGATCAAGGTCTCTATACTAGCTGTTCATGTACATTAGTGTCCAGATTTTAAGGTTTCGACTTAACATGTTTGTCTCAAATGTTACATTGTAGCATTCTTGTCTCAAGTGTGAAATGTTGTGGTTAGATCTCTTGCTGGGTCAAACCAAAGAATTTTTAGAAATATCAAAGCATTGTTATATACCAGTTATATGTTAAAATATTCTGAGATTACTTTTCTTGCCTCTTTTGTGTTTTGAAAAAAATGCATCAAATGTCAGATAAAACTAAATCAATATTTCTATTTATTTATGCCTAAAAAGCATGTAAGGATTACACAAGAGACTTACAGAGCTGCTTGAATTTGAGAACTGTAAGAGCTTAAAATTTGTTTTTCTTACTATAAATGTACTTTTGGGTTATTGATAATGCATGAATAATTTTAAACAAAACCTTCATAAAAATTCAGAACAAAGTTGCACACCATCACTAACTATATTCCACCTATACAAAACTTGTTTTTGTCGAGCCTGCAACTTTTGTCGCAGAAAGTTCGACATAGGGATAGTGATCTGGCAGCGGTGTTAGCTAACTTCTTAAAAGCTTTATATTTTCCAAGGTGGACGACCTGGATGCTTCATACTTTGTATATTGATGCCTTATGTTATAAAGTCTGGAAAATGTTACCATTACTCTTCTGTAATAAATGGAAAATTTAAAGTTACTTTAAATTTCACATGAGGTACATAAGAAAACCTTAAAATCTATATTAACATTTTCAGTAGAAACTTCAAATTTTAAGATTACTTTATGATTTTTTCCCCCATAAAAATAAGAAATCCAATCAAATAATCAGCACTTCAAAATTTAATGGTGATTAAATGTAACAATGACATTAGAAATTTGAAAACTTAAAACAAATCTTGTACAAACGTTTCACTGTTATAAAGTGCAATTATATTTAAAAGTTTCATTTTATTTTAGGCTGTTGTCTTTTTTATGATTTTATTCAAAATGATATAGTTCTTACTTGTCTTTAGACAAAAGTAATTGAAGTGTAATTTTAGAATTACATTCACAATGTAATTGTAATGTAATTAATTACATTTGAAAATCAATGTAATTGTGATGTAATTAATTACATTTAAAAATCAATGTAATTAATTACTTTGGCATGTGATTGACCCCAGGTCTGGTATATGTCTGTCTGGCAGGTATCATCTGACCTTGATGGTCCATTGGTCAATGTTAAGTTTTCATGGTTAAGTTTGTTTCTTAGATACTTTAAGCAATAGGTCAACTACATTTAATGCATAGATTGATTGTAAGGTGTACATGTCTGTCTGGCATGGTTCATCTGACCTTGACTTTATTTTCATGGTTCATTGGTCAATGTTTAGTTTTCCTGTTTTAATTCTGTATCTTCGAAACTATAAGCAATAGGTCAACTATATTTGGTGTATTGAATGATTGTAAGGTGTACATGTATATCCGGTTTGGTTTATCTGACCTTGACCTCATTTTCTTGGATCATGTTAAGTTTATGTGATACTTTTAGTAAAGCTTTATAATTAGGACTATCAACATAAAATCAATGGTCAGTAAAGAAGGCAAGACATTTCAGCGTGTGAACTCTTGTTCATACAATGCGCAATTTCAGAATCTAATGCGTTCTGGGTAATATTTTCAATAGCGTACTTCAAAATGTTGTGATTGGCTACCAGCGTCCTAAACAATGTAAATTCAACCAATGATGCGAAGTTATTTTTATTTTGGGGTAGGAACATCAAATGGTGAATTAACAAACCAATACAACAAAAATAAGAATGACAAATAGGATTGGACACAAGTTTAACCAACTTATGAAGTCTGCTCCTTTCCATAATTTAACAATTACAATTATACAGAGTGTGCACAGTTCAGTAAATCTATCTTAAAGGTATTAGTAAAATGAGACGTATGCACAAAGTCTGAAATAAAGCCCAACACAATTAACAAAAAAAAAAAGAAAAGAGAAAAATAATAATTAAAAACAAATTGTTCAAAGAACAATTGAAGGGTTTCCACATCAATTTTCTAAATAATTGATGAGAAGCTAATTCTGGTTTACTCAAAGCTACTATTGGCGTCCAATCATAGGTTTCTTCATACTGATTCAATAAACATATGGTTTCTATAGACTTTTGCCTGAAATGAGGGAGATAATTGCCAACTTCTGGTTAAGAAAATGTCACTTCCGGTCTCATATGATAGCTTTATTTACACTGATTTCAAAAATATATGGTTTATATATACTTTTGCCTGAAATAAGGGAGATAATTGCCAACTTCCAGTTTAGAAAATGTCACTTCCTGTCTCATATGATAGCTTTATTCACACTGATTCAAAAAACATATAGTTTGTATATACTTGTTATGCCTGTAATAAGGGAGATAATACGCTACTTCCGGTTTATAAAATGTCACTTCCGGTCTCAAATGATAGATTAATGTATGACCATTCAAAAAATATATGGTTTCTATGTACTTTTACATGAAATAAGTGCAAAAATGACTACTTATGGTTCACTCAAGGTCACTTCCGGTTGACATTTTTCAAGGTCATATGTCACCCAACATTTTGCAAAAGATCTTATGGCTTTATCATGTACCAATATGAAGTAATAATCTATTTACCTTAAAATAAAACATTTCAGGGGCAATAACTCCAATAAGATGTTGCTGGATTGTCTCAGACCAAACGTATCATATCTTCATCACAATATTACAAACATTTTGCACTAGTTCTTTTATATATAACATTAAAAATATCTGAGAAAATACAAAAACAAGCAAAAGACAAAATTCAGAACATGACCTTGACCTTTGACCTTGACCTCATTTTCTAAGTTAGGATCTAAGGACCTCAAATAAAAAGACTATAGGTTTATACGGCTTACGGTTTATTGAGTTTATAAAACTTTACAACAAATTTATTTGATGAAGGTAGAGAACTATTAAATTTCACCAGATCACTTCAATCCAAATCAGCCAAAATTTCCTTAGGATGTAACGAACAAATATGAAAAAGAATTTTGTTGTTATCTTTTTTGGTTACGGAGGAGATACACTCACAAGAAAAACAGTGTTTGGGGAGATAACTCTTACAATAAAAAAGTTTTCGGCTAAAAAAGATGAGTTTTAAAAGCGCAATAACTGTTCGATATAATATCCAAAATATCTAAGCAACATCTTGCAAAACAACTTTATACCACAAGAAAAGGGTTAGATGGAAGAAGAAAAAAAAAAATAATAATCAGAACAAATAAAATAGGTCTTTCCACAGAAAAGTGGAAAGACCTAATAATAATAAAATGATAATAGATAAATGAAATTCTGTGGACTTGGTGATTTTATTTATTTATATCTTATTTGATTATACTACTAGGAATCTTTTTGATTTTTTTTTTATAAATTTGAAGACTTCTTTAAAGATTTCACAGTTTTCCTCATATGTTAAATTTCTGCTACCCTCAGTGAGTAACTCTAGATTTGTTGTCACTTAAAAACAATTAATGTTAATTAATAGATTGTTCCTTATATCAGTGTAGTTATTGCAATCAAAGAAGATGAAATGCATCCTCACGTGGAGCGCCACAGGCACAATATGGACTCTGTAATTTCTGGTTTTGATGAGAGGAAATGAAGAAAGTATATAAATATACATTTTGCATTTATCCACATTTAGAAAATTTAGAAATAATAAATTTGAAAAAAAAAATTGACCAAGGCATTTTTCTAGCAGCTTTATGAATAAAATAAAGACATGGGGAAAATGTCAATGAGACAGCAAACCAACAACATATGTTAACCTTAAATCATATAGAGGCATCTTCATTGGGCAAGTGTCTCTCACATATGAAAAATCACTGGAGTGTGATATTCAATAGAGGTGACCAATCTCCTGTTACCAAGACCCAATTTTCAACATGCAAAACATTCAGGAGAAAGGGCAACCATTGATGATACTCATTACTATTACCAGAGACATATATACACTATATGTCTCTGTGTATATATGTCTCTGCTATTACAGACATGTGCAACTAACTTTTTTTTTATTATTTTAAAGATTGTGATATCTTTAATCAGTGTGGAACCTGTACAACCTTTGGACAATGTGAACAGTTAAAAAACTATACTTTGTGGAAAGTTGGAGATTTTGGTACAGTTAAAGGAAGAGATAAAATGATGGCAGAGATCTACAAAAATGGACCAATCAGGTAAGAGATGATGATTAAAATGATGGTAGATATATTTATAATTTAGAGGAATCAATCAGGAAATAGATGTTACTCATCTGCAACAAGGACCTATCATGGGTTAGCCTGCTTTTCTGAAACATTTCAGTACATATAGGGGAGATAACTCAGTTCATTTAAGTAAACCCTTTCCTCGAGTCCACAATGGAGAATTTTTCATGCACTTATTTTGCATGGGATGCATTGTATTTCGATGAAATGTTGAATATAAGCTTACTTTAATAAAATAAAAATGATGATGTTGATTTAAAAAGAAATCATTAAGAAAATCATGTCACATATTCCAAAGTATGTACTTTTTAAACAGGATACAAATTGTGTGAAGTCTAGTGATCTGATACAGATTCATGAAGGCAAAATGCTTTCACTGAGGTACCACATTGAGGCCTCAAAAGGCAGCATTATGTAATTCTAAATTGGTCATTGCAATTAATGATTTTCACTGAACACATTCTTATATTTTATGTTTCACCTGCAATCCGTAGAAGTGTTGACTATTTGTATAAACCATCTGTCATTTTTCAATTGTCCTCAACCTCATTTTCAGGGTTAAGCAACTGCTAAAAATATTGTATAGTTTTTGTCACATGAGTTTCTCACAAATGATGAGTAACAAAACAGACTCATTTGTAGTTATTAGTTTAAGAGTTGTAATTTTGGTTTGGCAGAGATAGCAAGTGTTTCCAATTTATACATTTCCAGTTCAAATTATATTAATCCAAATAATTTTCATTTCAAACAATAAGCAATACACCAATATGTACAGAAATATGTTCGATGGTATTTTTTAGTTGTGGCGTTATGGCAACAGACAAATTAGATGCCTATACAGGAGGAATATATGAAGAGGAACATTTCTTTTCAATGGTAAATTTATGCGTGATTTTGATTATCAAACCATTATCAATTTTCAAACTTACAAATACATATTGGATTCATGTGCAGTTAAATTTTACGTGTAAACTTTATTTTCTTTTCTATAATCATTGACTGAATTTGAATGACAGGTCCTTGACTAGGGACAGGGACATAAAGAATGATTAAAATACAAGAAAAAAATCAGACCCGTTCTGTAGAACAATTAGGATTGGTGAATATATGATACAGAGCCATAATTGAATTTGAAAAATTAACAAAATTAATTAATGAAATAATGTAAGACATTGTAAATATTTTTTTTTTCTCTTTACTGAACACATGCTGTAATCTGGGTAAAATGTAATACAGCCAGTGTTGCAATAAAATTTTGATTAATTGTTAAAGAAAAAAAAAGAATGTGGTGAGCACTTAACCCTCCACTTACCTGGAACAGTGGTGTAACAGCAAAACATAAGAAACAAACTGTAAAGATCAGCTTGACTAATGAGATCTGGATGAAGCACCAAAAAAAAAAAGACAAAACTGACATTAGAATTGTAACTGTGTGTTATTCCTACAGTATATATTGAAATGTTATATTTGTTTACTTTTGTATTGTTTGTTCTATTAAGGTAGATGGGGTGTCTAAATTATAATCCATAGAATTTTTTAATAATTTGCCAAAATGTAGTTTATATAATGCTTTTTTGAAAAAAATAATAAAAAGAATGGGTCACAGGGCTTATTTTCACGCAACAGGTTGTGCAAAATTGACAGATTTTGTATAGATTATGCATGGAAAACGCAATTTTCTGCCATAAAACGAAAACTACACCATAGAATTTTGAGATAAAATATGAGAAGATAGCTCTAATATTATACTTTCAGATAAGAAAAAGAAAAAATGAGGCCACCGGGCCCGTTTTCTTGCTACATAATAAAATAGATAAATTCCTAACACATTCTATTGTAAAAGTAACTTTATCTGAATTATCTGCCCTTACATTTGAGTTGCCTCCCCTTATGTGCCAAAGTTGGAAAAAATTGAATCAAACAAAAGTATTCTGTTTTTTGTAAAATACAACCCAAAATATAATAAAACATGTCATTTTCTATATTAAAATGAAAATTCTTACACATGAATTACCCACTACTCTCAAAATTTGCACATTTTATTAAAGGTCTAGACCGATTATTTTCTGGTATTTCAAAATCCAAGATGGAGGAAGACACCCTATCTACCTTAAGGATGTACTTTCGTAACGACTTACATTGTTACTGTTTTATTAGAAATATATTCTCTTGTGCTCCATTACCAAATTTATAAAATTGGAAACAAAGTTGTTAATTTGTGTAATAAGTAATAATAGAAACTTATTTATTCTGTTACATAAGTTTGACTGTTAACCCTTTCCTCCATAATGATGTCTTTTGGCACAACCCCCATCCCTCCATAATGATGTCTTTTGACACATCCCCCATCCCTCCATAATGATGTCTTTTGACACATCAGACCATGAAATTTGTATCCAATAAAAAAGTATATACTTGGGAATATCTAACATGAATTTCCTTGATGAAATAAATTATTTGGCCATGCATTATCATTTCAAACATGATGCTTTTTTTAATGGCCATCATCATGTTTTTAGAAGATTTTTTTCATTGAAATAAGCAATTTCCAACATTTTTGTCGAGAATGCGACTTTTGTTGCAGAAAGCTCGACATAGGGATAGTGATCCGGCGCTGCATTAGCTAACTTCTTAAAAGCTTTATATTTTAGAAGGTGGAAGATCTGGATGCTTCATACTTTGTATATGGATGCCTCATGTTACGAAGTTTCTGTCAGTCACAAGTCCAATGTCCTTGACATCATTTTCATGGTTCAGTGACTACTTGAAAAAAAAGTTAAGATTTTTTGTAATGTTAAATTCTCTCTTATTATAAGTAATAGGATAACTATATTTGGTATGTGCGTACTTTGCAAGGTCCTCATGCCCGTCTGATAGTTTTCACTTGACCTCGACCTCATTTCATGGATCAGTGAACAAGGTTAAGTTTTCGTGGTCAAGTCCATATCTCAGATACTATAAGCAATAGGTCTAGTATATTCGGTGTATGGAAGGACTGTAAGGTGTACATGTCCAACTGGCATGTGTCTTCTGACCTTGACCTCATTTTCATGGTTCAGTGGTTATAGTTAAGTTTTTGTGTTTTGGTCTGTTTTTCTTATACTGTATGCAATAGGTCTACTATATTTGGTGTATGTAATGATTGTAAGGTGTACATGTCTAGCTGGTAGGTGTCATCTGACCTTGACCTCATTTTCATGGTTCAGTGGTCAAAGTTAAGTTTTTGAGTTTTGGTCTTTTTTTCTTAAACTATAAGCAATAGGTCAACTATATTTGTTGTATGGAAGAATTGTTAGCTGTACATGCCTGCCTAGCATGGTTCATCTGACCTTGACCTAATTTTCATGGTTCATTGGTCAATGTTTAGTTTACTTGGTTAATGTTAAGTTTATGTGACAGTTGTAATAAAGCTTTATATTTAGGACTATCAACATAATATCAATGATTAGTAAAGAAGGCGAGACATTTCAGCGTGTGCACTCTTGTATTGAAATATCCCATGAAAGATAAGTATATGAAAAATCATAGAGGAAAGGATTAACTCTGACATTTAGTCCGTTTAAAAAATGACTGTTTTCATATTTGTTTTCAGCTTTATTTTTGAAATACTGTTAATTGATGTTCTTTTTACAGGTAAATCATGTTGTATCTGTAGTGGGATGGGGAGTTGATGTAAAATCGGGGACAGAATACTGGATAGTGAGAAATTCATGGGGAGAACCTTGGGTAAGTATATATATATATATATATATATATATCTTTATTAAAAGGGCATTAGCTGTCAAAGTCATGTTCACTGATTTGACTCAAATTCTCATATTTGATTTATAACATACTGAAACCTATATCCAAATTAAAAAAAGTCAAAAATAAATGATTTATGATGCATGGACTCAATAATATGTATCAGCATTTTGTGTGTGTTTTAGTATAGACACCATCTAGTTAGCCATCGAGGTGACCTTCGAAGACTGCTGTCGGTCATATAACCCGATATTAAAATAAAGATATAAATTAATAACGAACACATGCAATTGGATTTTACTAGGTCTGTTTGATTTCATATTATAGGTTAGAAAAAATATGCTTATCATCATTCTTACCTGTATAAGAATAATGTTTATCCTTGTTTCATTTTTATACGACCGCAAAAAAAATTTTGGGATCGTATAATGGTATGATGTCGTCGTCGTCCGAAGACACATTTGGTTTCTGGACAATTACTTTAGTTTAAGTGAATGGATCTCTATGAAATTTTCAAGAAGGTTCAATACTACAAAAGGAAGGCTGGGATTTATTTTGGGGATGATGGTCCCAACCATTAAGGAATTAGGGGCCCAAAAGGGGCCTAAAAAACAAGCATTTTTCTAGTTAAGGATAATAACTTGAGTATAAGTATCTTGATTGCTCTGAAATTGTACCACAATGTTTAATACCAGAAGTAGAAGGTTGGGATTCTTTTTGGGGGTTATGGTGCCAACAGTTGAGGAATTAAGGGCTAAAAAGGGCCAAAAACAAGCACTTTTATAGTTTCTGGACAAAAACTTGTGTGTAAGTGTATGGATCTCTCTGACATTGTACCACAAGGTTTCATATCACAAAGGGAAGGCTGTGATTGAGTTTGGGGGTAATTGCCCCAAACATGCAGGAATTAGGGGCCAAAAAAGGGCAAAAAACAAGCATTTTTCTAGTTTCCAGACAATAACTTATGTTTAAGTGTATGGATCTCTCTGAAATTGTACTGCAAGGTTCCATACTACAAAGGAAATGCTGGGATTGAGTTTTGGGGTAATTGCTCCAAGGGGGAATTCAAAAAGATTGGGGAGGGGATTTTTTTAATACTTTTTTGAGGGGTTCATATTTTTTTTTCAAAATTTTTCAAATTTCAAATTTTTGAAAAGTTTCAAGAAGAAATCTGCAATTGCATAGTATTTCACAATAGATTTGTAAGATCTTTGACCACATTTATTTTGTGTCAGAAACCTATATAATGTCAAAAATTTGATCACAATTCAAATTCAGACAGTATCAAGCTTGAATATTGTGTCCAAATTTATCCCAACTGTTCAGGGTTCGACCTCTGTGGTCGTATCAGACTGCGCTCAGCGAAGCATTTTATCAATGTTGACATTCTTTTTTTTTTCATAGCTGATCAGGCCTAGTTTATGCATAACCCATCTCTAGCTAAGGGGTTAAATTAAAGGTCACATGAATACAGATTCATTGAAGTCGAATTATTCACTTGCAAGTGAATAATTCTTCAGCAATGTTTCTTGGCTTATTTTGACAAAATTGAACCAAACTGGATGCTAAAAGCAAATTATTATTTTACTTTATTTAATGATAGAACAAAAACAAAAAAATCATATTTTAGTTTTTTTATATCTTGTAGCTAATGTAATGCCACTTTAAGGCAACTGAAACAATATGGTTGATGATTATTTTTTTATATACAGGTTACATCATTTGATATAAATGCTGCACAAAATGAAAAAAAGATGCAGAGTAAAAGTAGTAATAAGAAATGTTTATTTTTTTAAACTATATCAAATTCATCCCTTATGTCAATTTCTATTTTGTACTTTTTTTTTTTACTAATTTGTATAAATTGTATAAGTTTATCCAGTTGTCAAATGTGGAGGATATAATATCTCACTTAAAGTGGATACCTTATTCTGTATTTTTTTATTAAAATATAAGAAAACCTATGTTATTGGTTAATTGTCCCCTATGCTACACTAATGATAGCACTGTAATGATGTCAGTCAAGTTATGTTATGCCACCAAAGCTAATTCTTACTTTCACTAAAAACTTTTGATTAAGGTTAGACAAATTGTGAATGATAATGGTATTATACAATTGTTTCTTCCGGTAAATTTTGAGGTCCAGATTAGTCGGTGTTCTCCCCACAAATTTCATATAGCATTCTGTTAAACCGGAAATTTTGAAACATCATCTTTTTCTAGAAGTAATAGCATCACATTCATGCAATATAGCATCATTACCATGATGCTGAAAGACCCTGTGGAGAACATTGGATAAGTCTCAAAATGTACCTCCTCATTAAACATAGATCTATATTGTGAGACTTGACATTGCTTTATAGATGATAATGAGAACATTACATGGCAATTGTTAAAATATTAATATGTGTATATTTTTCTCTATTAGATAAGGTATTAAAAAAAAAAGTAAAATAACAAAAATGCCGAACTCCAAGGAAAATGAAAAACGAAAAGTTCCTTATCAAATGGCAAAATCAAGAGCCCAGATGCATGGAAAACATATTCCTCACTTGGTACAGGCATTTCCTTATGTAGAAAATGGTGGATTAAACCTGGTTTTATCGCTAGCTAAACCTCTCACTTAATTGTATAACAGTTGCATGCAACTCAATTATATTGACAACAATATGTGAACAAAACAAACGGACATAATAGGTAAAAATGTCAAAAATTGGGGAACTGCAATCAACATTGTGTTATAATCTTAATCACTATAAAAACAAACAACTATGTCAACCTGTTCTATTATTTTTCAGGGAGAACATGGCTTTTTCCGTATTGTAACAAGTAAATATAAACATGGAGAAGGGAACTGGTACAATCTGGATATAGAATCAAGATGTGCTTATGGTGATCCAATCATACCCTCTGGATACTAGAAATAATATAAAGATACAAGTCATATCACCTCTTTTCTTTTTTTTTTATTTGTATTTTGTATTTTGTTTTTTTATTGTGCTATGATGTGTTACATTAGGTAACAATACAGTCTGATTTAAAAAAAGTTTGATTAGATTTAAAATGCCATAAATTTATTATTTTTATGCATAGACAAAATATAGATCAAGCTAAGCTGTCGGAACAAATTATCTCTTTCAGTATCATGATTTTTCTTAGCACAAATAGTTCTGACCACTTTTAGGAGAAAACTGATATTTTTTTTTTGCATCTACTCTTTTTCAAATTGTCATTCTTATCTTCACAGATCCTTAATGAATGGCTATTGTATTTAAAAGTTCATATAAACAAAATATCAGATGTATTTCTCTTATTATTATTGTCAAGGGTAAATCAGATTTCAAAAATATTTATAATTTGATAATCATGATACAATTTATTGTAACTTAGATTCTAATTAATTTATCCACTTACACAGAAAATTCAAATCAAGAAATATGAGATTTGATTCTCTTATTAGTTTTGTTATAGTTAATTATCAAAGATATTTAAAAAAAAAACATGATATATAAAAATAGAGATCTATCTATTGACAAGTTAGTTTATTCAAAATAAATTGTTTGTTTATATTCTATAAATCTTATGGATGGGCAGTTCATGAATGCTTAAAATATTCCCTGAAGTTTTTTTTCATTTTTCTGCTAAAGATGTATGTGTTTTGTATGTTTCTGTCAATGTTACATGCATTTTTTCCATTTAAATATTTTTATAACCTTTAAAGCACCAGTTAACAACCACATTTTCTTATTATATTGCACTTATTCTCAAAATTTAATAATGAACTTTAAAACTCATTTGAATCTTATGTATCCTACTAGACCATGAAATATCTTTTATAAATGCATAATAATTTTTGAGTTTTCTCACTACAGACATAATGCATAACATCTTACTGATGAGCATCATAGTCAAATTGTTGTTTTAAAAGAAAATCTGTTATTACCTGGCTCTCAAAAGGAAAATGCTTTTTTTTTTTATTTCAAAAATGATACAGATTGAACATTAAAAAAATTAATTTATTTATATTTTGTTTGCTTGTCTACTACAAAATGATAATTGTCTGTTGTCAAAGACTTGAATTAATAGTCCTTGTTTAAAATTTAAAGTTGAAATATTGAAGATATTACAAAGCAATAACTTTACCGTATTTTTTTTTATATTGTAAATGATATTTAAATATGTTGTGTAATTTTCATTTGTTATTTATTTTATTTATTTGTGTAATAAAATATTGGTAAAAAATATCAATTTTATAATGATGAGAAATGATTTCATCTATATATAGATACATTTTTTTCGTAATATCAGCAAATTTGAGGTTCAACTAAAACTTATATACATGTATCTATGAGCTCAAGAGTATGGACTCCTAAAACAACAAGGTCTGCTTTGACTTACACCTTACCCTTAGACATAAAAAGATATTCTAACACAAAACCTAATAACAAGCATGATATTTTAGTTTTTACAGTCTATGCTTTGCTTTTCTAATTAGAACTACCGGTATACCTTTATGACCTGTATATGGTGTATGTTAAATTTGATATCACAACAAATATTGAAGGTTTTTGTCACCAATCTGTTTATATAAAAATAACGAGATGTGGTATGATTGCCAACGAGACAACTATCCACCAAAGTTCGAATAAAGTGGATGTAAGCAATTATAGGCAAACTTACGGCCTTCAACAACAAGAAAACCCATACCTTATAGTCAGCTATAAAAGGCCCGAACATGAAAAATATGAAACAATTCAATTGTGAAAACGTACGGCCTAATTTATAACAAAACAATTTACGAAAAACAAATATGACAGATGTCAACCAATGACAACCACTGAACTTCAGGCTCCTGACTTTGGACAGACACATAAAGAATGTGGCAGGGTTAGACATGTTTGTGAGCACTCAACCCTCCCCTAACCTGGGACATTGGTGTAACAGCTCAACATAAGAACAAACTATAAAAATCAGTTGTAAAAGTCTTAACTCATCAGATTGATACAAAGAAAAACATCAAACAAAAGCACAGACCGGACGTGGCAGGGTATATATCCATCCTTCATCCCTAACAACAAAAAAGACAGTAAGTACAGATCTGAGAGTACTTTCAGTTACTGACAGCTAGTTCAAAGCCTATTACAACTAAATAAAAAAAAATCATGTATCTAAGACTAAAATATGAATCAGTACACATCCAACATCCAATAGATTTATGTTTACTTTATAGGCCATGTGAGCTATTGACATCATTTGGCAACCATCTTCGTCATCCAATGTCTGTTGTCCATAAATTTTCAACATTTTCATCTTCTCTTCTGAAACCACTAGGCTAAACTCAATAAAGCTTGGCAGGAATGCTGTATGGAAGGTCATATACAAAAGATCCTCATTTGGTTAAGATCCGGTAAAAAACAAAACTGCCAGTGAACATTTTTGTACTCTGATCGAGTTTTCAAACATTTTCATCTCTTGAAACATCATGGCAAACCAATTTTGAAGCTTTGCAGGATTGAGGATTTGAATTCCTGCTACAATTTATCATCATTTAGGGAACGATCATTTATCTTCAAGGGGTAGGGGGGTTATGTTTTTTTATAAAAATATTCTAATACCCAATTTGATGAAAAAAGAATATTGTGGTCAAGCAGATGACAAAAAAAAATATTCTGAATCCAGATTTTCCCCCATATCTTATAGTGTTTAAAATGGTGGAAAACAAATTGGCATTGGTGGTAGAACTCTATGGGAAATTACATTTTCATTCTTTTCTCTAAAACTACAAAGGTAGATTTAACCAAACATAGCAGGAATTATGTCAGGTAGATCCTCCTAAAACAAATCCTCATTTGGCTCATATCAAACGGAAAACATGACCACCAGAGGCGAGCATTAATTCTGATTGACCAAAAATCTCTGAATAACCAGATGAAATGTTTGGAAATTTTATATAATTGATGATTGAGATGCCCTCTACAAAGTTTCATCGTTTTATTTTAATGCTGATTAGGTTGCAAACATAGTGACACATAGTTCTTATTGAAACAACATGGAAAATCACATTTTCATCTTCACTGAAACCACTTGGCCAGTGTGAAATAAACGTGACAGGAATGATGTATAAAAGGATCTCTACTAGATTTCTTCATGAAGATCTGATTGGAAAAAAAACAAAGGCAGCAGAGGCAATCATTGATTCTGAATGGCCAATTTAAAAAAAATCTCAAACTTAAACACTGTATTATTGTGAAAGTTAACAGGAGTGACCATTGGGAGACCCTCTACAAATGATCTTTGTTTAATGTTGATTTTTTCGTACACATTACGGCATTGGTGGCACATAGTTTCCATAAAAACACTGGGAAGTCACATTTTCATCTTTTTTTCTGAAAATTAGGAAGTATGTAGGTTGTTGGCTTTTAACCTCTGATTGTATTACATTTTGGGATCCAAGCTATTTCTGTTTCTAGAGTTATGTTCATTGAAAAGTGCAAAAGTATTAGCATTTTTTTTGTTTTCTGGTTAAAGACTCAACACCCTTTCTTATATTTATGATATTGTCAGTGTCATTTAATGTCCTATTAATGCCCAAATTTCAAAATATCCTATAATGAATTAGTCATTTTTTTATCCTACAATTTCTGTCGCAGAAAGCGAGACATAAGGATCCGCCAGCGGCGGCGTTAACTAACTACTTTAAAACTTAATATTTCATAAGGTTGAAGACCTGGATGCATTGTACTTTGTATATGCCTTATGTTATGAAGTTTCCGTCCGTCATATGTCCATTGCCCTTGACCTCATTTTCATGGTTCAGTGACTACTTGAAAAAACGTTAAGCTTTTTTGTAATGTTAATTTCTCTCTTATTATGAGTAATAGGATAACCATATTTGGTATGTGCATACCTTGCAAGGTCCTCATGTCTGTCAGATAGTTTTCACTTGACCTCGACCTCATTTCATGGACCAGTGAACAAGGTTAAGTTTTCGTGGTCAAGTCCATATCTCAGATATTATAAGCAACAGGTCTACTATATTTGGTGTATGGGACTATTGTAAGGTGTACATGTCCAACTGGCAGGTGTCATTTGACCTTGACCTCATTTTCATGGTTTAGTGGTTAAAGTTAAATTTTTGTGTTTTGTTCTGATTTTCTAATACTGTATGCAACAGGTCAACTATATTAGGTGTATGGAAATATTTTATGATGTACATGTCAGCCTGGCAGGTTTTATTTGACCTTGACCTCATTTTCACGGTTGATTGCTCAATGTTAAGTTTTTGTATTTTGGTTTGTTTTTCTTAAACTTTAATAAGATAGGTCAACTATATTGGTGTATGAAATGATTGTAAGGTGTATATGTCTGTCTGGCAGGTATCTTCTGACTTTGGCCTCATTTTCATGGTTGATTGGTCAATGATAAGTTTTCCTTGTTAAGTTTGTTTCTTAGATACTATATGCAATAGGTCAACTATATTTGATGCATGGATTGATTGTAAGGTGTACATGTCTGTCTGGTAGGGTTGATCTGACCTTGACCTCATTTTCATGGTTCATTGGTCAATATAAAGATTGCATGGTTTTGTCTTTTTCTTGTATTCTTTAAGCAATAGGTCAACTATATTCGGTGTATGGATGATTGTAAGGTGTACATGTATTTTTGGCTTGGTTTATCTGACCTTGACCTCATTTTCTTGGATCATGTTAAGTTATTGTGATAGTTGTAGTAAAACTTTATATTTAGGACTATCAACATAAAAGCAGGCAGGACATTCTATTATGGGCACTCTTGCTTACTTTTGCTATATTTAGTTTTACCCAAAGACATCTAGGTGAGAAATAAGTGACTCGCTGTTACACATATGAGTTCAATTACTGTTTCTATTTTTATACTGATTTTGAACTTTGGTGAGATTTTTCACCCTTATCAATTGAATCATCGTCAGAGTAACATGCAGCAACATGAACGGATTTATATGCTTACCCTTCTGGTATAGCTCCTTGTTTTGGTGTCAGTTTCTCTTTTCTAGTTCGTCCATAAAAACCTATTTTATTGATTTTAAATAGTTTCCTTCATATGTTGGCCAAAGGACAATTAAAATCCACTAGTGGAAGATTTTTCTTGTTCATATAATGATTTTTATTCATCCTGACCAGAAAAAGTAGAAAAGAGAGATGAAAGATACCAAAAGGACAATCAAACTCCTAAGTCTAAAACAAATTGAAAACGCAATGGCAAAAACAATAAAAACAACAAACAAACAAACAACAGCACACAAAACACAAAACACAACATAAAAACTAAAACTAAAGACTGATCAACACAAACCTTAACAAAAACCGGGGATGATCTTAGATGCTGCAGAATGGTAATCAGATTCTGCTCCACATATGGCACCCGTCGTGTTGCTCATTTTAGTACAAACCTGATGACAATTCGGAAGGTCACATTCGAGAAAAAGAGGACGGGACTGTGGTTACAACAATTAGAACATATCAGTCGTCATCTGTGAAACCAACTCTCGATGTGGTCCATATAACTTTTGAAGGGATGATTAAAACTTCACCACTTGGGACTCTTGTTTCAATAGCCTCCGTGTAAGCAGCAACCCTCTATCAAGGAAATCATGATAGGAAATGCAAGCTCTGAAATATCGTATCAGCTGGGAGATATATACTTCATATGCAGGTAGTTTTGGAATGATGCTACATAGAAATGGAAAGATCACAATTGGGAAGCTGAAATCATCTCTTAATAAAGGAACAAGTCGACAAGAAACGGAGCACCAATTTGTTTCCATAGGACTGCCAATTGTTTGTTGAAAAACACGTCCTCCAAAAGTAAAAAATATGTTGTCAATCAAGAAATCAAGCATCAATGTCAGTTTCAGAGAATTTTTTGTCTGAATCAGAGTGACTTTTTACAAAGTACGATGTTTCTCTCCCTAAGACAAGATACTTGTTTCTACGTTGGTTATTCTTTTTTATGAAACAACGCAGGACCAATTATTTTAATTTGACTTTTAGTTTGGAATGGGGAATACTTGTGAAAAGGGTCGAAAAGTCAAACGTTTTCATACTATTGCAAGATGAAAAAGATTTAGATTGTATGTACTCTAACAGATCTTTCGAATTCTTAAGTTTCCACATCTGATTCACGCAGCCTTAGATTAAGTATTTTCACAATAACTTCGACTGCTGATAAAATTGATGTTAATAATTTAGACAGTTTTCGTGGAGCA